AGTAGAGGCAAACTCAGTGACTGCGGCAGTAAGAGACGACACAGAAGACAGAGAGGCACGAGGGCCCGCAACAAGAGAGGCGAGAATACGAGAGAGAACAGGTCGGTACGTGCTGTAGTAGTCAGTGACAGGAGTAGAGAGGGAAGCAGTGAGGGCCGACTCAGGAGGAGAAGGAAGCACAGACGGTGACAAACGAGGCGGACAAGGACGGAACAGGACAGCACGAAGGTCAGTGAGATCGACAGAGGACGAGGGACGAGCACGAGGAGAGCGACGAGAGGCCCAAGTGTGAGAAAGAGGAGGGGACAACGGAGGCTGAGAACGAGGGAACACAGCTTGGGAGGGGTCAGGAGGAGGAAGCGGAGGACCAGAGACGGGAGGAGAGGGGGAGGAGGGAGGAGAGGGAGAGGGGAGACCGAGGGTCCGAAGACCAGAGACAGGAGGAGGAGGTGGTAGCCACTGCTGCTCTTGCTGCGGCTGCAACCACTGCTCCCCCAGTTGCGGCTGCTGCTGCTGCGTCGGCTGCTGCTACGGCTGCTCCTGCTGCGGCTGCTCCTGCCGCGGCTGCTCCTCCAGCTGCGGCTACTGCTGCTCCTCCAGCCGCTGTAGCTCCAGCTGTTGCTGCTCCAACTCTCTCTCCTCTCGCTCCAACTCCAGCTGCTCCTCACGGGCACGGCGAACACGAGCCTGGTGCCGGGTCGGGTAGGGGTGGGGGGGAGGAGTAGTGTCCGGGGCGGTGGTAGCCCTAGGACCGGTCTTGAAAGCACCAGTCGTACCACCCCCAGAGCCAGCACCACCAGCAGCAACGCGGCCAGACCCAGACTCTCCTGATCCAGCGGGTGGCGCACCCGCAACCCCAGTCGGGGCACCCCCAGAGTCAGCTTGACGAGCACTAGCTCCTGAAAGACTAGAAACCTCTGCAGGCATGGGCTCAGCTCCAACTCCAGCACCCCCAGCACCAGGCACCTGTGCAGGCATACTTTCAACGCCGACTCCAGCACCCTCAGGGGCAGTACCTCCAGGGTCCGCGCGACCAACACAAGTGCCCTCAGAACCCGCTGTAGCCTGCGGAGACTGGGAGGAGGACTGCGGGGAAGGAGGGGGGGACCGGAGGGGCTACCAGGGGGGGGGGGGGGGGGGGGGGGGGGTACCGTGTGACACACCTGACGGGGCGGGACCAGGGGGGGAGGCTGTACCTGAGGAGCGTGAGGCGGAGCGGGAGCCAGAAAGAGGGGGGGGAGGAGGGACCAAGAGACCGCGACAGGGGTACCGGGACCGACTCGTCAAAACGGACGTCACAGGAGTTAAAGAGCTGGTGAAGGGGACGGTGGTAAAAGGTGAAGTCAGAGGAGTCCTCGGAAAACCAAGGAAGACAAAGGGAATGGCGAGAGGCAAGATCTTGTCCGCGGAGGTGTCGTAAACACACACCAAGCAGCCCCAGACACGAAAACGCGATGAATCACCAGGGGACCTGGTCAAAAGACTGGTCGGTGAAGCCCCTGGCCGAGAGACACGTGGCCAGAGGTTCAGCTGGTGAGCAGCGTACCGAACCGAGTAGGGTTACTGAAAATGGGGCGCACGGGCGTGAATCATGGAGGTGCGTGCGATATCCATGACCAAGCCTATGCGGCGCTCAGCAACCCCATTCTTCTGTGGGGACTTTGGAAGCGTCCAGGACTGGCAGATGCCCTGCTCGCGACAGAATCCAGCGATGCGGAGCAAAACACACCCCCACGGTCGGAGTCAAGACAACTTACACGACGCCCACGAGTGTCCTCAGTGGTGAGTAACCACGTAGCGTAGTCGTCAACGTCGGACTTCTTCGCCAAAGGAAACACGGTGGTGTAGCGAGAGTAGTCGTCAACGACCACCAGAAAGAAACTCTCTCTCTCACTCAGGGCCAGGGTGCGAGGCGGGGCCCCAGACGTCCAAGTGGAGAGTCTCGAAGGGCTCGGTGGCCGGACGAAGGGAGGAGGAGTGAGGGGTGGCGCGCAGCCGACCCTCGACGCAAGGGGCACAAGGCGGTGCAAGCGAAGGCGGCAGCGACGGTAGGACTCGCGGGCGGCCTGAGACGAGACCCTGACTAGACATAGTGCGAAGGCTGGGAAGAGATGGGTGATCAAGATGGTGGTGGTACAGAACTGTCCGGTGGGCAAACGACCAACACAAGCAAGACGCAGCGACTGGACTTGACACTGGGACCCGGCTGGACACAGCGGGGAGGCGGCTACCTGGTGAGACGCGGAGACCTGACGGAGGGCTGCGACAGTGGCAGGGGCAGTCGCGGTTGCTACTGCTGCGGCTGCTGCTGGGTCTCGCTGGGGGCAGTGTGAAGTGTGTAGAGACCAGAGCCCGGCTCAGCGACAAAGGTGGCCAGAGGCGCGTTCGTGTCACCGTCTACACGAGTCGTAATGTCCCCAGAAGGCTCGATCCAAACAACCACGTGACTGTCCATGAGTGGTCTCACACCCACCAAGTTCCTGGAGAACGAGGGGACGTGAAAGCCGGTCAGGACACCCGAGGGTACAGCCGGGCACGGAATCGTAGTAGTGTAGCGAGCAGTGACTGGTCCCGAAGTGGGATCAGCCAGTGAGACTGAGACCGGGGCGGGAAGTGGAGTAAGGGTCGTGCGGTCGCGGAAGAAAGGTGCAGTGCAAAGCTCAGGAGTCGAGGGTGAAAGACAACGAAGAGGGCTCCGGGGTAGTGCATGGACTATCACCTTAGTAAGTACCTACGCTAGCATCAGTCTCAGGATCAGCACTAGCACCTAAGCTAACAACAGACGAGTAAACAGAGTCAGAAGCACTAGAGTCAACAACAGCATACATAGCATGAGGAGTTCCTAAGAGATCAACTAACTGAGAAGCAGACATGGCCCACAAAGCAGCACCGCGTGACTGAACAAGAGGAAGCCAGTCAGGACCAGGGTCGTGAACGCCGTAGGCCACACGAACGGTGTCAGTGAGCCGAACAAAGCACTGACCAGGCGAGTGGCGGCGGTCACAGCGGGAGCCACTGCGAGTACCTGTCTGGATCATGTAGGGGCAGGGAGGGTGGACGTCACCACGTGACTGCTGAGGCAAACCTGGCACCGGCTGCTGACCCTGCTGCTGCACCTGCTGCTGCTGCGGGCGCTACAAGAGAGGCTGCTGCTGCTGCTGCCGCTGCTGGCGCTGGGTCAGGTACCACGCCGCCACTCCTCTACCTGAAGGCTGCAGTCTCGCAGGAACCCGGGCGGTCCCTCCACCAGCCGCAGGAGGGGGGTCACGCGCCGCAGCTCCTGGCTCTCCATCAGCTCCAGCACTCCCGCCACCACCACCCGCAGCTCCACCTCCGCCACCACCACCAGAGCCGCCCGCACCCTGTCCGCCCCTCCTGCCACTCCGACCCCTATACCGCGAAGAAGCCGTAGCAGTAGCGGCAGTCACGTCACTCGTGGCAGTGGCAAGGGAGGCAGTGAAGGAGGGCAGCCGAGGGACCGTGCACCCGTGAAACAGTGGGGGGGGCACAGCACCAGAGGCGGAGACTATCGAGTGGAGATTGCTCTCGACGTCCTTGAGAGCAGACTCAAGGACGCTGACAGTGAGCTCGCTAGGGTGCTTCGGAAGAAGCGCATCACGAACTGAAGCAAGGCTATCAGGGAGGCTAGTGGCGATGAAATAGATAGTGATAACCATGGGGGGAGGTGGCAGTGCAAGCTGTGTGTCAGTGCAAGCAGCGCGAAAGCTAGCGTCAAGTGAGCGCAGGTAAGCAATCAGGTCAGCAGAGCGCTCAAACGAGGCGAGGTCAGGGAACAGGAAGGGGAGGAACATGCGGCCAAGAGAGACGGTGGAAGGGGTAGCATAGCGGGCCTTAACCACAGTAAGGAACTCACTAGCCATGTGAACGTGTGCGAAATGGGTCTCCTCGGACTCAGAGAGGAGGCTGCTGAGGTCGATGCAGGCCGCAGCATCGCGCGATCGCCAGGCAGTCAGGTCAGCACGCTGACGCGAAACACGCTCTCTGTCCTTAGGGGTTGCGTCAAGCCCTAAGGTAGCAGGATCGGGGGGCGCGGGGAGGTCACCGGATGCGTGCGCCCATAGAGACTCGTTTGCCTGCACCTGACTCTCTAGGAGTCGCCGCGCACGCTGGAGCCAGACAGAGAACTCGAGGGGCCTACCCTCGGCGTCAAAGCGAAGGATTGTAGGGATCGTCATAGCGAAAGAAGAAAGGACAAGGCCGGCACGGCGAGCTCTAAGGGCAGGCTCGCAACAAGCGCAAAGGGAGGAGGCGGCAAGCGGAAGAACGCAGGCCCACGGCAGGCTCAAAGGGCAGGCACGGCGGGCAGATAGGGCAGGGCCGCGGCAGGCTCTAAGGGCGGGCGCGGCAGGTGGCACGGGCAGGCGCGGCAGGTGTCACGGGGAGAGACGGCGGGCAGCGAGTGCAGGCCCGCGGCGGGCGCAAAACGCAGGCACGGCGGGCGCAAGGGGCGGGCCCACGGCAGGCGTAGCTGAGAGGCGCGGCAGCAGCGAACGGGCGGGCCCGTGGCGGGCCTAACGAGCAGGCACAGTGGCGGGTTGAACGGGCAGACGCGGCGGCGCGAAGGGAGGGTCCGCGGAGGGCCTAACGGTCTGGCGCAGCGGCGCAAAGAGCAGTCGTGGCGGCGCTAAGGGTAGGCGCGGCGGGCGCTAAGAACAGGCGCGCGACGGGACGGGACGGGAGCGAGAACGGGCCGAACGCGCTGCGGCGTGCGGTATTGCAGGCGCGCGGCGGACGGGCGTACGAAAGGGGGCGCTATTGCAGCGTTACGAGACAGGACGGGATGGGTGAGGTTCGGGAGGCTCGGGCATGGGGAACGGGATCCTACAGGATCCTAACCTAGGTGATACCATGTCAAAAACTGAATTGTGTGTTCATTGATGTGGGTTGGGGTACATATAGCAAATTCTAATATTTATGCCCCCTAAGACAAGCCTCACTACAGGCTACAACATTTGACAGAAACGTTCGATACTTTGGTGATGAGGTGCAGAGCGGTACATTGATTTTGTGACGCCTAAACTGAAGACATGTATTCCCAGGAATGTACCCTAACTAGAGGTTGATAAATTATCACATATCCTATATAGTTTCACTTACTGTAAAAAATACTTTCCAGTAATTTTACTCTATAACAAGTTCTATAACCGGCAACAGACTTTCTTGTAAACGAAAGGCCCTGAACCGTGGAGAGAGTTACTGTGCATTTGAGAGCGGTTTTTCCGCTTCACCGCTTTGAACCGTGGCCCACCAGTCTGAACAGTGATTCATGGGTTGTTGCAAACGAACGCGTGGGACACGCCCTCACCTGGAATCGGGTGACCAGCCCCAGCCTTCCTGGCTAGGGTTTCGAAACTTTGGTTCCCCTTCCACCAACCCTCCTCAAATCTAGAGTCGACTTTGTCCCCCGCTCTTTTGCTCGTTTTGCTCTTTTGGTACTGATGAGTTCTAACTACGCGACTTGGCTAGAACCTAGGGCGCTGGGTCGAAGGGGCTCGTGGGAGCGAGAAAGACGGAGAGACGTTCCTGTGTATTGCTATTTGTAAGGTTAATCTCCCTTTGGCTACCCGTTTGCAAATATACAGCCTTATACATTTATCATTAGCTTCTGCCAAAGTTGCATGTGCCTTCCGTAGCTTATCGTCACAAGTAGGAGCTTTGTCACTTCCTGGTAGTTGCTCATTCTCCTTAATATTGTTGCCACCAACTTCGTTTGGATTGTTTCTCGTTTGTTTGACCCCAAGGCTCAAGGCTCAAGGCACCGGTAATCCGTGGAGCCCAAGGCTCTGATTCTCGTCCGAGGCTAAGGGACACGCCTTCGACCGCTGGCTCTGAGGTAGGGTTTCAGACTGCCTTCGCAATGCCTGACGCAAATGCAGGATGTTCGACCAGTAAATTTCTGAGTTCGAAAATCCTTGCAGCAAGCCAAAGCCATTCGTCGAGTTTGCGGGAAAGGAAAACCACCTTCACCAGGTATTTTTCCTTGGGTTACCTTATCGCTGATTGATCGTGGTATTCGATGTGCTAACATCGGTCACAGCTCGAGGCTTTGCGGAAGTGCAACGTGAAAGAAGTGGTCGTCGCGTTGAGCTACATGCCACATGGATTCAAGCAGTTTCTTGAGACATACGAAAAAGAGTTGAGCATGTCGTGGAAGTTTCCTCGGCGTTTCTCATCCTCGCGCGACACATCCTGTCGCGTCGATTGCTCTCCCTGTACTGCCCCGCTCGATCGCGCGCTCACAGAAATAGCTGCCATTCCGCCGTTCCTCCCGTGTGAACGCCTCTTACCTCCCGCCATCCCCTCTGCGCGCGTCTTCCCTCCCGCTATCCCTCCGTGCTGCAGGTCATCGTCTGGCGAGGCAACGGTGCCGCAATCGGCCTCCACGCCTCTCTCCCCCCCTCCCCTGCAATGGACGCAACATCCCGTCCGCCCGCCGCTCCCCTCTCCGCGCGCCGTTGGGTGGTGGCGCACAAGAAGTGGGCTCCCCCCGCCGCCGCCCGCCCGCCTGCTTCCGCCTCCTTCGCCTCCTCTCTCGCCGACTCCTTCCTTCCTTCGCACGGTCCCTCCCACCCATCGCACGTCCCGTCACACCCGTCGCTCGTCTCGTCGCAACCGTCGCACGCCTCGCACCAGTCGCACGGCGGCAGCTGGGCGAACGGCAGCGTCGTGGATGGGAGCTGCGGGTTGGAGGCGTCGCAGCGAGGGCGCGCGGAGGAGGGCTGGTCGGGCGCGCGCAACAGCGGCGCGCGGCATGACGGGGATGCGGCGGTGCCAGGGGGAACGCAAGCGGATGCCGGGTGGCGGAAGCGGAAAAGGTCTTGCGCGTGTAGCCCTCCTTATCGCTCTGCTGCCCCCGTGCCTGTCGCAAACTGCTCGCAAACGCCCCGTCCGCGTTCCCTTCTTCTCTTCGCCGATTTTCCTTCTCCCAACTAACGCCCGTTTCTTTCTCCTATTTCTCCGCTCCTGCCCCATTTCTCCCTCTTCCTCATTCTCCCCGCCTCTTTTCGTGTCCCCTTCCTAACCCTAACTCCCCGTCCCCTTCTTTCCCCTCCCACCCCCTCTTTCCCCCCCTCCACCCGCTCTTTCCCCCCCTCTGCCCCCCGTTCCCCGCCCTCTCCTGCCCGCCATCCCCCCCCCTTCTGCCCCCTGTTCCCCCCCACCTCCTGCCCCTCCTTCCCCTTCCCTGCCTCCCCCGCGAGCAGCCATCTATCCGCGGCCACTGCCGACGACTCCGCCTGTCTGACGTCATCCCATGGCCCTCGCGCCGCCGCCTCCGCCCTTCCGCACGTGGCCGTCGCGCCGTCACACGCTGTCTCCCCCTTCGCGCATCTCTCCGGCCCCCCTCCCACGCATGCCACCCGTTGGGACGTGCCCCTTTTCTCCGCCAAGCGCGCATGCCTCGCGGCGGCCCCGCACAGGCCCGCGGAAGGCGCGGCATGGGCGGAGAGGCCAGGCGCGTGGGGGGAAGGGCCAGCGGCTTTCAAGCCGCAATGTCGGGAAGCCGCCGCGGCGGCGGCGGCGGTGGCGGGGAAGGCGGAGGGCAGAGGCGACGCTTGGCGGGCGCTGAGCGCGTCGTCAGTGGACTTCGCGCCGCAGCCCTTCCAGCAAATCACGGAGTCGGATCTGCTTCTGGAGGCGTCGGGCAGCGGAGCGCCGCTTGCGTTCGCCGTGGGCGCGGCGGCGGGCGCGCACGGTGACGGGCGCGGGGGGCTCCACCATCCCGCGTCCTCCGCGCGCAGCGTCGGCGCGTCAATGGAGAGCGGCGCGCGCACGCGGCGGGTGGTATGCGCGCGAGGCAGGAAGCGGCGGGGAGCGGGGGGGGATCCGGGGCAGCAGGTCGCGATGGCGCGGCGAGCGGGCGATGGCAGCGCGCTTATCGAGGCGGGCGGATGGACCGCAGCGCAAGACGACGCGGGGCAGTGCTCGTGCGCGTATGGAGGGGAAAAGGCCGATGCGGAGGATGGGCAGAGGGCGGAGGAGGAAGCGGAGCGGAGGGAAGGGGGAGGAGTTGGTGCAGAGAGCATCGCGCGACCGAGGAGGCGGAGACGAAAGGTGGGGCTAGTGGGGTTGGCAGAGGAGGGGGAGACGGCGGAGGAGAGGGATGGGGTAGCGGCGGCGACGGAGCTGTCGTCCCTTTGTGGCGCGTCGCCCGCCGCGGGTGCGGCGGCAGCGCTTGGGAGCACCATGAGGCGGCCTTCCCCCGCGCATGCACCTGTGCTGGCAGGATGTGGGGCGGCAGCTGGTGGGACGGCGGGAAGTGCGAGCGTGGAGGGCGCTCGGCCCGCAGACGGTGCTGTGAGCGCCAACACGTGTGCGCCGTCGTCTGCAGAGTGCCGCGCTCCCGAGGGAAGTAGCGGAGACAGCAGCGCGTGCGAGCGGGAAAGCACGGGCAGCGAGCAGCGCGCAGGGCGGAGGCGGAACGCGCGCGTGCTGCAAGAAACGGTTAACGGCGCGCGCGGCGAGGGGCTACGGGATGATGACGGGGAGGCGCGCTGCTGCGCGGACGACCGGGGGAACACGCGGCAACGGCAGCGGCAGAGGCAGCGACAGAGGCCAAACCAAACAGGGGGGGTAGTGGCGGGAGGGGCGGGAGAAGAGGCGGACGAGGAGGCGGAGATGAGGAGGCGGTTCAGCGTGGTGGTGCAGTCACAGGTGGCGGGCGGGGAGGAGGAGGACGGACCGCTGGAGGGCGACGCCAATAGGAGCATGTCGGAGCACGTAGGGGCGGCCAAGTTTGTCCTCTCCTCTGGGCGAACGCTATCAGCAGGTGAGGGTCAGATTCTTGTTGCACTTGTTGAGAGCTTCACACCCTTCCCCCTCTCCTTGCCCAGCTCTCCCTCCGTTTGCTTTCACACCCAGTGCCCCAACCCCTCCCCCTCCCGACCCCCCTCCCTCCACGCCCCCCTTGCTCCCCCTCCCTTGCTCTTTCCGTTTGCATGCCAGTTGTTTCTGCCTGTTTTTCCGTGCAGTGTTGCGTGCCATCACTAATTCTTAGTACAAAATGCCATGAATCAACTTGTGCTCATGCCTGCCCCCCATGCCCTCGGCCTTACCTTTTCCCTCACCCTCGCCCTCACTTGTGTGTATCCCCTTCCTTTAACCGTGTTCCTCTGTGTGCTTTGTGTGCTCTGTGCTGTTCTGTGTGCTTTGTGTGCTCTGTGCTGTTCTGTGTGCTTTGTGTGCTCTGTGCTGTTCTGTGTGCTTTGTGTGCTCTGTGCTGTTCTGTGTGCTTTGTGTGCTCTGTGCTGTTCTGTGTGCTTTGTGTGCTCTGTGCTGTTCTGTGTGCTTTGTGTGCTCTGTGCTGTTCTGTGTGCTTTGTGTGCTCTGTGCTGTTCTGTGTGCTTTGTGTGCTCTGTGCTGTTCTGTGTGCTTTGTGTGCTCTGTGCTGTTCTGTGTGCTTTGTGTGCTCTGTGCTGTTCTGTGTGCTTTGTGTGCTCTGTGCTGTTCTGTGTGCTTTGTGTGCTCTGTGCTGTTCTGTGTGCTTTGTGTGCTCTGTGCTGTTCTGTGTGCTTTGTGTGCTCTGTGCTGTTCTGTGTGCTTTGTGTGCTCTGTGCTGTTCTGTGTGCTTTGTGTGCTCTGTGCTGTTCTGTGTGCTTTGTGTGCTCTGTGCTGTTCTGTGTGCTTTGTGTGCTCTGTGCTGTTCGGTGTGCTTTGTGTGCTCTGTGCTTCTCTCTTGTGGTCGGTGTGCATTGCTCTGCCCTGTGCTGCCTTGTGCCACCCTTCTATCTGTGTGAATCAGAGGGGCTGCCAGCGCCCAAGAAGAAGCCCACCATAGACGACGAGTTTGAACAGTACTTCGCGCAGCTGCTCTTATAACGAGTTTGAACAGTACTTCGCGCAGCTGCTCTTATAACGAGTTTGAACAGTACTTTGCGCAGCTGCTGATCTAGCCGTTTTTCCACCCGACCAGCTCATACTTATTGCGCTGCCCATGCATGAAGTTGGTTTGCGTTTGTGTGTAGAGAGCTTGAGAAGAGGCATCTAGGTTTCAAGGTAGATGGTCAGGGCCCAAAATTGGTTTAGGCCTACTCTTCCAAATCAGGGTACCAGGCCCTCCTTGAACAGACCCCTAGGGTAAATTTTTTCGTACCCTGCTTTCAGCAGGGTAAATCAACCACTAAACTGATTTGAGCAGGGTAGTGTTAGGCTTAGCCTGTTTTGATTACCGGCGACTTCACTATCGCGTTCCAGACGGAAAAGGAATACGGTATGCGTCGCGGGCCACGACGCGCGGTGCAATGGGAAGCAGCGCGGCGCGCTGCGGGAGACTCCTGCAGCGGGGGGCGTTAAATGAATTCATGTCGGAAATTGCGCGTCGAAAAGTATGCTCTTTGTGGAAATCGTGTGTCGAAGAGGTGGGAGTGCTTCAATTTGTTTTTCGCTAATTCGCACTGTAACTACTTCCCCGTTACCACAGGTTCCGTCCTCGTCCCGCAGTTCTTGAGGTCTCAATCAAGTGGCAACGATGCACGAAAAGTGCCTGGTTTCTCGTTCCGTCAGCACACTCCGTAGGGTATCTCTCACGCTATCTTCTCCTCTCCTCTCGCCCCGTGTGCGCCCCCACAGTGCGGTGTTTGTGGGGGTGTGGTAAATTTTGACACCACGCGGACTGTGATCTGATTCGCGTTAGGAATGTTTCGGTAAAAGGGTAGTGTACACTATACCCTGATTCCGTCAGGCTAACCTAAAAACCAATCAGGGTGAAATAAAACATGCTCTATTTTGGCAGGGTAATCCTGAAAAAACGGCCGACCCCCAGGGTAATCAGGGCGTTTTACCCTGATATTTTGGGCCCTGTAGATGGTAGATGGTGCTGCAAGGGGACTCTAACCAGCCGTGCACGTGCTGTGTTGCTAACCCGGGGCACATGGAAGCGTTTGTGTGCGTGGTGTTGTCTTTGTAGTGATGGCCTATCCATCCTATGTGCATGCTGTCTCATAACCGTCCACTCTTGTCTACAGGTGTATAGAGTGTATAGTGGTGAAATCATCACTTTCACCAATTGTATTGTGTGTTGCATTGCACTGTATCGAGCTTATTTGTCTCCAACCAACGCTGTCACAAAACTGGTTTCTCCACCTGCAACGAAGCTATGCAAAAGCTCCCAGCGCATCCCAGACGCCCTCACCATAGCTCATCATCAAACCTCGCGGTTCTTTCCCCCTTGACCATGCCCTCTCCTGCGCATTTTCACTAGGAGCCGCCCTCCGTGCTTCGCCACAGCCTGCCTTGCGCTGCGGAGTCTCCATTGCGCATTCTCGCGCAAAGCCCGCCATCCCGCTTCCGCCTCACGGCGCGTTTTGACGACCGCCTCACGTGCAACGCCGATCGCATGCGCCACCTGCAGCTGCGACAGGGACGAGTCGCACAATTGTGACAAAGTTGACCTGTTACTGTACGAAAGCTTTACAATCGATTACGCCATAGGTACAACGATTACGCCATAGTTATAACGAGCCCGTACAGCTGTAGTGTAGCCTTACAGCTATAGCGATGCAGGTGGCGGTTTGTTGCATTCGGGGAATAATGATGTGCCGCGTGACCGCCACCACTGCCAAGCCAGTTGCCCGCGCTCCCGCCACGAGCAGCGCCGCGCGCCACAGATCCACCCCATTGCCGCCCGCATCCATCGCCGCCCCTCGCGCTGTCCCGCGTGCCTGCCTCTGGCTTGCCGCCTGGTCGTCTGCCCCTCTCCTGCCCGTCTCTCGCGTTTTCCGAAAGCCAAGCTCGCTGCGGATCAGTCAGCTCCGCCACGAGCAGTCCAGCGCGTCGGAGGTACTCCTGTGTATTGTGGAGGGGAAAAGTCGACGGCTTTCAGCGGCCAGCCGACGACAAGCAGGCGCAAGGCCGGCGCGGCTGACGGCATCACTGTAGGCTGGTGCAAGTGGCGCGACGATGCTTGATGGTTCGGTTTGATTTGGTGGAGGTCGGAGATGGGCGACATGCAGGGTGGGGTGGGGGTGCTGTTGATGCCTCCAAAATAGCCGTCCTCGTTACAACTGGTGAGCTTCTAACAACAAAACACATAGCTTAATTTCTTATTCTGAAGGAACGAGATCAAACAAGGCAGTAAACCGAAAAAAATGAAAAATAGACGAAACTAATGAATGAAAAAATGGAGATGCTGTGCTACACTACAGAAATTGATAGTCATGGTTATTGCAATGCTATTCCAATGCCACAACTTGGGTTTCGACCAATTCGTTGACTAGAACGTGTGGAAGGGAGAGGTAAGACCCCTCCAGAACCCGATCCCCTTGCACTTGGGGGTTTGCCGTGCGCAGCGCTTCCAGAGGAACCTGCCAGTTGGCAGCAGGAGCCAGAAACCCAATGCTTGGTCAGAAACCCATTACAAACAGGTGAGTGCAGCAAGCGTGAGGTAAGGAGTCATGGAAAGAGAACTTCATAGTACAGCGTTATTCCTTGTATGCCCCTCATCCCCTCTACTCCCTCACCCCCTCGCCCCTCCTGTCACGCCCTCATCACCTGGCATCGCTGGGAGATGCGCCACAGGCTGTCCCCTGCCTGCACGCGCACCCGTGCATCTGCATCCACCACCAGCGCCTCCACTTGCTCCCTCACCAACCCCCTTGCACCGCTCTGCACCGTACTCTTCACCGCTGCGCTACGTGCCACCGCTTGCAGCCCCGCCTCGGCCACCTCCTGGACGGCATCTGCCATCCCCTGCACCGCCCCTGCCACCTCCTGTGCCACCTCAGCGCCCACCGTGCTGGCACCTGCTGCTGCCTCCTCCACTGCCCCTCCCACGCTCGCCATTGCCTGGCTGACAGACGCGTGCGCCTTCCCCACCGCACGCATCACCCTCACCTGCTCCGGTACATGGAAAACGTGTAGCACTGTGACATAAACTGACAAATTCATATTCTCAAGGTAGGTAGAACTGATTGTTCTTCTTTACCCTTTTTCCTCCTTTCCAGAGGAATTGGAAAGTGTGAACGACGATTTTGCAGTCAGTTGACCCACCGTGTCTTTAATCCCCACGGCAGTGAGCCGAGCAGTTCGCAGCACCTGCTGCTCCTCCGCCCTGTGCTTCAAGTGTCGGGCCACCATCGCTCCCGCTCCCACCACTCCCGCCACACACACAGCGCGCCACACCCCCTCGGGCAACCCCCACGGCCCCCCTCCACCCGCTGGACTCCCATCGGCAGGCCGATCATCGCCGCTAGTTGCCATGGCTGTCTGCTAAGCTCTCTGGCTCATTATTGCCGCCAAACACATGCCTGTGACCCGATGAGACGGGAGGTAGGGTGGAGGAAGAGCAATCGGATTTTGCAATGTTGTGTTGGGTTGGGTGCTGTGTGCTCGCTTTCCTTTGACACACCCGCGGTTTCGTTCGGTCGAAATAGGTTCTAGACGAGAACCCGTTTGTACCGTGTAGAAAGCATTTGAAATTCACTAAATTGCAGCTGGCTATGTGCTGGTGATGGTGTAACATGCTTTGACGAAAAGTGATTCTTCGCCTCACCTGTGTTTGGTCTGTTCAACGCCTCAATTCGACAGCACAGCTCTCGTTCGTATCATAGGTGCGCGCCACGTACGACCTCGCATGCACATGACGTCATTCCTACATGGTTCCATCCAATCTTCTTCCCGTTGTACCTCCCAACCTCGCCACGGTGGAAAGGAGTTCACAATTTCCCGCGACGCGTTATGAAGCAGTCGTCGGCGCGTTTCACTGCTGACGGATTTTCCGAGGGAATAACATTTCCCAATCAGGCCAACGCGCCTCGATTCCCCACAGCTTGGTCCCCTCTCCTTGCCCAGGTCGAACATCTCGTGTACGTTTTCTGCGATCCAATTTGTTGCGTCGCGGTGCGGGACGGTGTACCAGAAAAAAATGCTTTCAGCTCTGTGGAACCGTCTTGAGCCACGATACAAGAGTCTGCCAAGCTCGTTCCTCGTTCTTGGTATTTCTTTGCTTCGCGACTGACGCCACTTCGTTCTAGGGTGTAAAAATCGGGCGAACCCGTTCCAGTCACTAACTCGTAATGTAATCGAGTCACTATGGCTAGCATTCGGTTCATACAGTCGCGCCTAGTGTACATGCCAGTCGCTCCCAGCGAACTGAGTTTGCCAGTCGGCAATTGCCATTCAACAGCGAGGCGTAGGAGTGACTGCTCGTTAACTTCGTCTATCTGTCCATGCGATCGCTTCCTTTCCCATTTAGACTCTGGAAACGCGGCACGCAGCCGCCGGTATCAAATAACCTTCACGCGCGTCCACCATCCCATGGAGCCCAGGGGGCATTCCCGCAACCCCTTGCGCCCCTCCCCGAGCTCCGCTGTTTCCGCACGCTATAATCTCCGTTCCCTCCACGATTATCGCTCATGGTACTCCTCGTTTCGCCTGTCTGGCGAGCATGCCTGCGACAGCGCGGCGTCGCATTAGCGTTGTCGCAACGGCTTCTTCTCCTGCCACTCGTGGTTTGCCTGATTCCCCTCCGTGGGGAAGCTCTGGTTTGCCTGCCGCGTCGCCCACTAGTTTGCCTGCTGCAAGCGCGGCGACGGGCGCGACGAAGATGCCGCCGCCGCCGCCGACGCCGAAGGCGATGGACGACCAAGGACGTCTCAAGGCGAACCAAGAGAATTCGTCTAAGCAGTCTCAGGAGCCAGACCAGTTAACGGACGCCACATCATCATCTGAGCTGGCTGGCGCGGCGGTGGACGCCACGTCACCACAAAGCGGCCACCTGGACGTATCGCGACACAATCTGCCACTCAGCAGCATTGTCAACCTGGTAACGGGATCCACGTGGCAGTGGCTGGATAGCGGCAGTCGGCGACGATGAGTGTGAGAGGCAACTGCAACCGGACGAGAAGTTGAGAGGTTTAGATGGGTGACCCCTTCCCCTTCCTCTTGCCCATCCTCTCTCCTGCTTTTCCATCGGATAAGACACTGTAGCGCCAACATATTACGTGGCTGTCCCCACATCCCCTCACTCTTCTTTCCCGCCTCCCTTCCCCACTCCCCTTCTTCCCCGGGCCATAGGCAGCAGTGGAAGCCGCGCTACGAGCAGGCGCTGGTGGGGCCGTCTCATTCCCATCGCCCTCTCCCTCGTCACTCCACATCTCCCCTCTCCTTCATCCCGCCATCCCCCTCCCCTTTCCTCGTCCGCCCCCCTCGCCTCCCCTTCCCACCACCAGGTAGCGGTGAAGGAGGCGCTGCTAGCAGCAGCGGTGGATCCGGGGCTGGGGGGCGTGGCGCTGGTGGGGTGCGCCTCACTTCCATGCCCCTCTCCCTCTTCCCCCAAACCTCCCCCCGCCTTTCATTCTCACCCCAAACCCCCCTCACCAGGCGGCGGTGAAGGAGGCGCTGTTAGCAGCAGCGGTGGACCCGGGCCTGGGGGGCGTGGCGCTGGTGGGGGGCCACGGCACGGGCAAGACTGTCATGGCGCGCGCCCTGCCCCTGCTGCTGCCGCCCATCGCCGTCGTGCAGGGCAGCTGGGCCAACGCGGACCCGCGCATGCCTGAAGAGTGAGTGCTGAGAGGGGAGGGGGGAACGGGGGGAGAGGGAGTAGGGGAAGGGACGAGGGAGTGGGGGTTTGGGTAGGAAAATACCACGGCCGCAGGCAGCAGTGGTGATGCTGCCTTGCTACATTGGTGCTGCTGGGAGAAGATAATACAGGTGTGTGGTTGATAAGTGAGAGAGGGGAATGGGCAGTGCCGTTTGCCGTGGTGTCATGGGTGCAGGCAGCCGTGGTGTCATGGGTGCAGGCAGCCGTGGTGATGCGGCGTTGGTGCCGCTCGGATGGAAGCTGCTGCTCGTGTAGTACTGGTGGGCTGGATGAGTGAGACATGGGGATGAGGGCGAGATGGGGATGAGGGCGAGATGGGGATGAGGGAGAGGCGAGGAGAGGCGATTGGAAAGGGAGTGGGTGTGCTTGATTTCGGACGGATTTGCAGAGAATCGAGGTAGTATAGTGGGGGTTGTGGCAATGCATGCATGGGAGGGTTCCATAACAGTCTTAACAGCTTACTACCCACTTTGGTCCCAACAGACACTTGTAACGAAACAGGGAGGGCATGACGGAAGGACATGGGCAATTAATGCGTTACTCATGGGTTTGCATATACTTATGTATGCGCGTAGGCATGGGTGCATGTGAGCATGTGAGCACGCGTTCATGCGTTCATGTGTGTATGTGTGCAAATGTGTATGCGTTCATGTGTGAATGTGTGTATGTGTGTATGTGTGTATGTGTGCATGTGTGCATGTGTGCATGTGTGCATGTGTGCATGTGTGCATGCGTGCATGTATGCATGCGTGCATGAGTGCATGAGAGCAGGTGGGAGGAGGGGCTAAGGGAGAGCATAGAGGAGCGGGGGTTGGATGTGCACAATCCACCCGTCACCCTCTGCAACCCGCCCTTCGTGCAGGTGCCTTGCTGCCCATGCGTGTCATGCCATGCTCTGCTACACCTGCCTATGCATGTCATGCCATGCCATGCCATGCCACGCTCCCTCCCAACACCGTGCCATTCGATCTCATTCGTGCCACCCTAAGCCCTGCCTTACCAACACCATGCCCTCTTCAGTTCTTGACATGTGTCGCCACGCCACCGCATCCCACGCCACCGCATCCCACGCCACCGCATCCCACGCCACCGCATCCCATGTCACCGCATCCCACACCACAGTTCATGCATGTCTGCTGCTATGGCTGCACTGTTTGCTGCACACGTGCTTTTCACCGCCTCTCTCGGAGCCCCTGGGGGGACAGCCTGCTGGCATGAGTGGGCGCGGATGGCAATGGCATCACACCTACACATGCATGGCATCACCTCCGCCTGCTCGCTCTCTCGCTCACACCTTGTCCCCGCTCTGCCCTTGCCCACCCCTCGACTCCATGCCCGCCTGTCACCCTGCCGCGTGCCCCTGGGGGTGCCGACCACTGCCTGCTGGATGGGTGGGCGCGGAGAGCAGTGGCCTCACACCCGCTGTACCGCCCTGCACCCGCTCGTATCCCTCTGATCCATGTCCCCCTCTCCCCCACGTCAGGTTCCTCTGGGGGAGATGGAGGGCTGCCAGCTGGGGGCGGAGGACGCAGGGCGCAGCAGCCTTACACGTGTCCCTTCCCCCTGTGCCCTCCGTCGCGTCTCCCCTCTCCCAGGTGCCGCTGGGAGTGACGGAGGACCGGCTGCTGGGATCGGTGGACGTGGAGGCGTCCATCCAGGCGGGGCGCAGCGTCTTCCTGCCAGGGCTGCTCGCGCGTGAGTCACCACATCGAGGGGTCACGGGTGCACGCTTGCTGCCGCGTCACTGCTCCAGGGCCTGGGGGTTTGTGGTGTGCCATGGAAGGGGTTCAAGGCAGTTTTGCCGCTCAGGCTGTGGTATGCCTCTCACTCCTCACCTGCCTCCTCTGCCTCACCATGCCCCCTATGCCATGGAATGCCCCATCCCCCCTCATTCACGCAATCCCCAGCTCCATACCACACACCCCCACAACCTCCCAGTTCCCCCCCTTTCCCCCGTGCCATCTCCCAGAGTGCCATGGCAGCGTGCTCTATAGCGACCGCGCCAACCAGCTGGACCGCCCACGCACTCCCTTCATACCCCGCGCATTCAACCCCACCGCCCACCGCACTCCACCGCGCCCCACCACATCGCATCCCCTTGCCATTGGCGACAGCACGCGCTGGACCACTCGCTGGGCTTGCTGCTGCTCCCCTCCCCCGCCATCCGCCACCATCACCCCATTCCCGCAATGCTCCATCCCCCCCTATCCCTTCATTTCCCCCAAGCCCCCTCCCCATTCAAGTGGGCCCGCGCTATTCCACGGGAGTGCCTCTCACCTGGCAGCCACTGCATCCCCCAGACAGCCATGGCGGCGTGCGGTACATGGACGACAGCAATGTGCGCAACAATGCATTCGGCTCTTCACTGCTCTCCTCTCCTCACCGTGCACGCGCTCCCTCCCATCCCCCGCACGTCACTCCCACCGCACTCCACCGCATCCCATCCCCTCCTTCCCCTCAGACAGCCATCGCGGCGTGCTGTGCATGGGCGATGCCAATGTGCTGGTGGCGCTGCTGTTGGCTCTCTTTGATGCTCTCTTTGATGCTCTCTTTGATGCTCTCTTTGATGCTCTCTTTGATGCTCTCTTTGATGCTCTCTTTGATGCTCTCTTTGATGCTCTCTTTGATGCTCTCTTTGATGCTCTCTTTGATGCTCTCTTTGATGCTCTCTTTGATGCTCTCTTTGATGCTCTCTTTGATGCTCTCTTTGATGCTCTCTTTGATGCTCTCTTTGATGCTCTCTTTGATGCTCTCTTTGATGCTCTCTTTGATGCTCTCTTTGATGCTCTCTTTGATGCTCTCTTTGATGCGCTCTCATAACACAATGCCCGCACTCCCTCCCACCCACCGCCCATCCATCCACCCCCACAGCACCCCACAGCACCCCACCGCATCCCACCGCATCCCACCGCATCCCATGCTCCCAGAGAGTCATGGCGGCGTGTTCTACATGGACGGCGCATTGGGCTCTTCACTGCGGGCTCTCCTCCTCACACTGCACTGCACGCACTCTTCACTCCCTGCCATCCACCCCCACCGCACCCCACTGCATGCCATCTACCCAATTCCCCCAGAGAGCCATCGCGGTGTGCTGTACATCGACGACGCCAACCTGCTGGACGACGCGCTGGCAGCGCTGCTGTTCGCGGCGCTCGCAGAGGGGTGCAGTGCGGTGGAGCGCGAGGGGCTCTCCGTGCGCCACGCATGCCGGCCGCTGCTGCTGGCGTCGTTCAACCCGCAGGAGGGCGCGCTCAGGCGCCACCTGCTGGACCGGATAGCTCTCATCGTGAGGTGCGGGTAGATAGGGGCAGAGGGAGTGGGGGTGGTGGTGGGGACTGAGGGAGGAGGTGGGCAGGCATGGGGGTCGACGGCGCTGCTACTGGCGTCGTTCACCCCGCAGGAGGGCGCACTGAGACGCCACCTGCTGGACCGCATCGCACTCATCGCCAGGTGCAACATGCATGCGGTAGTGTGGGTGTGATGGTGAGGCGGGGTGTGATGGTGAGGCGGGGTGTGATGGTGAGGCGGGGTGTGATGGTGAGGCGGGGTGTGATGGTGAGGCGGGGTGTGATGGTGAGGCGGGGTGTGATGGTGAGGCGGGGTGTGATGGTGAGGCGGGGTGTGTGGCGGGGCTGTTGCTGGCATCCTTCAACCCGCAGGAACACGCTTTGCGACGGCACCTGCTCGACCGCATTGCTCTCATTGTCACGTGCGGTTGGGGGGAATGGGGAGGGGGGGAGAGGGAGGAATACCTAGTGATCATCAGGTCAAGGGCAGCCAAGGAATGGAGTTTGACGGCGCAGCTGCTTGCGTCGTACAAAACCCGCAAGAGGGTGCGCTGCAACGCCACCTGCTCGACCTCATTGCTCTCATCACCAGGTGCGGTGGTGGGCGAGGCGGGCGTGGTGGGGAGAGGGTGAGGAGCGCGGCGAGAGGGTGGGGCGAGCTGGAGGGCGCGCTGAGGCGCCACCTGCTGGAGTGCATGGCACTCATCGCTGGGCGCCAAGGGGGGATGTGGGGAAGGAGGAGGCACGAGGGAGAGGCGGATGCTGTGGTGAGAGGGAGGGGCGTCCTTGGCCCCGCAGGAAGGGGCGCTGAGACGCCACCTGCTCCACCTCATCGCACTCCTCGTCACGTGCTGTGGTGGGCGGGGGTGTTTATTCATGGACTGTCGTCCACTGCACTGACCATCAGGTGCAGTGGGGGGGAAGGGTGGGTATCGGGCGGAGAGGGAGAGGAGAGGGGGGGGAGTGGAAGGCCAGCGAGGCGATGATTCTGGCATGGGTGAGTGCGCGAGGGCCGGGAGAGGTTTGCAATTGATGCTTCTTTTAAGGCCCTCCACACATTGATGGTGCTCTGGGCAGTGCACGGGAAACCCGGAATGTGGCCAACCACCTGATTGCACCTGATTGCATGAGTAAACCTGCCTGCCTTCATCCTTGTTCAACACGTGTCTCTTTGTCCGTTCATCTGATTGACACGTCAGCACGGATGCGCCTCTCTCATTGGAGCAGCGGGTGGCCGCAGCTGATGTGGCGAACGCGTTTTTGGACGGCAAACTGACGGCTCGGGGTTGGGCGAGCAGAGGTTTGGGACCTGAGGGGCCGACGTCCTTTGGAAAGGGAGGGGAGAAGGGTGAGGAGGGTGAGGAGGAGGAGAGTGTGGAGGAGGGGGTGGAGGCGGATAGGCTGCGAGTGCTGTTTGCACGACAGCTGCTGCCACGTGTCAGCATCTCACAGGCCCAGATTGCATTCCTGGTGGACGCTGCTGTGCAGCTGGAGTGTGAGGTGAGATGCGGTGCAGTAAGGTGCACTGCGGTGAGATGATTTGGAATGGAGTGATGTGTTGGGAGGCAGTGCAGTGCGCAGTGACAAGTGGGGAGATGGAGGGTACTTGGGGGGTTTTGTGTGTGACTGTCTTGTCTCCCTCCCTCCTTCGTCCTCTCACACGCTGTCTCCACACGCTGTTCCTCGGCATCATCCTCTTGCCACGTTCTTCACCATGCCGCCTGCCCTCACCAACCATATACTCCCCCTCTCACCCCCCCTTGCCCCACCCCACCGTCCGCCCGCCATGGCCTCCCCCATAACCCATGGGTTGCTCCCCTTTCTCACCCACCCATCGCCCATGTCACTTGCGCACTATCACAGTCATTCAGACATTCACCGTCCGCCACCACTCCCCACCATCCTTCACCATCCCTCACCGCCCCTGCGTCCAACCCAACTTATGCTAGCAGGGCCAGCGCGCGGAGCTGTTGGCAGTGCGAGCATCCAAGGCGCTGGCGGCGTTGAACGGGCGCTCGCAGGTCACCCACTATCCCTCACCACCCCACATCACCCCCCACCACCCCTGCTTCCCCCCCTCACACATCCTAACAGGGCCAGCGCGCGGAGCTGTTTGCAGTGCGAGCAGCCAAGGCACTGGCGGCGCTGAACGGGCGCTCACAGGTCACCCAGGCCGACCTCGCCCGCGCTGTGCGTGCTGGGGGTGGGGGTGATGGAGGGGGGGGGAGATGGGCGGGGGATTGAGTGGGGGGTGGGGGCGGGTGGCCTGGTTGAGGCAAGCGCGCTGAACGGGCGATCACACGTCTCCCAGGCCGACCTCGTCCGCGCTGTGCGTGCTGCGGGGGGGGGAAGGGGGGAGGGGGGGGATGGGGGGGTGGGGATGGGAGGGGAAGGAGGGGCGGATCGGGCAATGCTGAGGAACGAACGGGTTGGAGTCGTGCGTGCTCTGAGGGAGAGGGGGAGGGGGGGGTGGGGAGGGATAGCGTGCGGAATGAGAGACGGCGATGGGAATGGGAAGATGGGGAGATTGGGGGGGTGCAGTGAGGGGGCTGTAGAGGACACTCAGAGCTCGTGGTGCTCAAGGCTCAAGGCTCGTGCCTTTCAACAAGGGGAGGGGTTGCGCAGCGAGGCGGGGAATTCGAATCGTGGGCCTGCAAGGCGAATCGTGGGCCTGCAAAGGGGAGTGAACATGGGATGTGGGGGGTATTGGGGTAACCAAGGCAGTGAGTGGGGGTGGAGCAATGCTCACAAGGAAGCAGTGCAATTGTGTGTGCAATGCTTGCAGCTGTTACATGCTATGGGCCCTCCTTCCTGCACCATCCCTTCTCATCCCCACTCCCCCTCCCTCCTGTAACCCCATCCCTCCCCCCCCCATCCCGAAACCCCCCTCTCTGATGGAGCAGGCGCAGCTGGCAATAGTGCCACGTGCCACGGTGTCATTGGCCAGCGAGCCCAGCAGCAGCCCACCCCAGACCGCCCGCGCAGCGCCCCCCCCACCCAGCCGACGGGCGGAGGAGAGCAATGAGGAGCCGCAGGAGGAGCAGGAGGGCGAGGTGAGGGGAAGGAGGAGATGTGGGAGAGGGGCGGGGAAAAAGGGGGGCGTATATGGGGGGGAGGGGAGGTGGAATGGAGGGTGAGAAGCAAGCGGTAGGGGCTGATGGTAACAAAATGCAAGGAGGGATGCGGTGCTGGTGGTGAGATTGAGATGGCACAAGTGGAGATAGTGAGTAGTGCGAGTGTGTGGGGTGCAGCACAAGGCAAGAGGAAGCCACCCCAAGTGGTGTGGAGTGCTGCTGCTGCGTCAACATCGCCGCACACCGCCTTCCACCACCGTCCTCACTGCTCACCCGCCGTCCCTCCACTCTCCCCAGCACCTCCCCCCTTGAGAGGACGAGTACTAGCGGGTGCCAGCATCGTTCTTGGCGGCAGCACCAACCTCGCCTCTCCTCGCCATTGCACTCCTCCCGAGCCACACTACACACTTCCTCCCCCTCCACTTCCCTCCTCCTTCCCTGCCCATCCGCCCTCGGTGGAACGAGTATATGCTCGTCTCAGCATCCTTCGCTGTGCCACCGGAAAACCCTCCTCTCCACACCGCTGCACCTTACCCTCCCCTTAGTCCCCTTTTCCCCCCTCTCCCCGCTTTTCCCCTTGCCC